GACAAAAAAATACCTTTACTTTGAAAATTTTGTATTACAAAAGGTGCCAAAAAATGTTGAGTATATTAAGGAAGTACTCATATGTATGAGTGGCCTAAGACAACCCTGGGCTATGTTAGGGCATTTATATATATGAGTACTTTCTTAAACTACTCAACATTTTTAGACACTTGACATCGTTATACCACCATGTAGTTACTTTTTGTCTAGGGATATTTTAGGTAATTAATTAGGGAGAGTAGAAATTCTTGATAAAAGAGATAATATTTATTAACTATAGTAAATTGTGACATTATCTATATGAGTTGTAACATCATCTACATGAAACAATGATTGTTTCTTAACCACGAATAAAATGCCACAAGTTTTTTATATAAATGTCTATCTTACCCCTCTTAATGACAAAAAATACCCATACTTAAAAAAATTTGTATCATTAAACAAAGGGGAATATTATCATCATCATAGCCTTTTCTCAACTAAATAGGGTTCATAGTTTACCATTCTGCTCATACCCAGTGAAGCCATAAGTCTCTATATATTTTATCATTACTTCTAACCTTGTCCTTTTGGGTCTATCCCTTGTCATTTTTTGTTCCTTGCACTTAAACTAACTAGAATCTCCTAATAAGGAGCAATGCGTAGTTAAAATGTTGAGTACATTAATAAAATACTCATATTTGTAAATACCCTAACGTACGCCCATATGCGTACCACTACAGTAAACACCTAACGACCTAGATTGAATCTGGACCGATCTGACGGTCATGGTTGTCCGAGAGTAGTTGAATTTTACTTTTTTTCAACAAATCAAAATGATCTAAAATCTGGAGCGTGTGTACATCTTAGTGAGGCTCACCTAATAAAAAATAATTCGCAACAAAAACAATGGCCAAAATACCCCTAAAACCTTTTGGGGGTATGTAACACCCCAAGAATTTACAGTACTGTTATTCCTGAGATGTGACAGACAAAACATATATACATCTATTGATAGGACAAATTTACAGTGGCGAGGTCTTACAAAGTAAATAAAGAAAGCTAATACAACAACAGTATCTTCCAAGGTTGATCTTGACTATCACTCAAAATGAATCCGCAGTTATCCTGAAAAAATGTTTACGATAGTTTGATGAGTTTGGCTACTCAGTAAGTGATCATCATAATCCTAAAAATAATCATGATTGAAAGATATCAATATTTTCCAAAATGAGATCTATTCAC